ACTGGACATTAGAACGATGAGGATGAATGGGTGGGTTGCTGCAAAGTTTCAGAACCCGCTCTGTTGAATCTCATTAACACTTGTCAATGGCGCCAATCACATGAGTCTCACGAATTCCACTGTGAGACTCATGCGATCTACTGCAGACGGGAGCTGGAAGACTGTTTGCGCCTAGTTGTGATCATCCGCAGGTAATCAGAGGCTGTTCAATTACATGCAAACTGCCTACCCATAGCTGTATTGTACATAGCGTTTCCTGTCCACAGCAAATCTCGTGATCTCGTGGGCAAGATGGTAGAGGGTGGGTCCACCTGTACATCTGTGCCAGCCAGCACATCCTTGGAGACAAATGGCCACAAAAGACAATCATTTGATCCAAGGCCTATGGAGCGAAGTGTATAGCACGCTGCAGATACCTTCAGTGCTGGCTTATCAGGGGGAAAACAAAGATAATTGGGCAAGGCTTGTTAACTTGTCCAAGTGTCAGAAGTGGTTATCTGCATACTTGTTCCAGATCAGAGATTTAGAATATTGGAACAAGTGGGTCAGCATAAGAACCAGGCACATCAGGGCTTCGGGAGCTTCCACATTCTGTTTTCACCCAGCTGAGTGCCCCAGAACTTGCCTATGACTTGGATAGTCATAGGCAAGCTGGCTTGATCTTGATCATCTGGTTGCCTTTGGAGACCTTGGTATTGAGCCCATTCTTGCTCCCGGAGGTGGGGGTTCCACCTGATTTGTTAACTTGCTACACAACATTGTCCATATACCCTCAACCACACTTGTTTATTTTTGTCCTATTATCTTCACAAGACCTCTGGGGGTGTAAAGTCATAAAGTATTACCCTGCCATACCAGTTGTGATAAGAACCTCGGTTTCATCCAATCTATATATTTTTTTTTGTTTATATGATTGTTTTTCTATGGTTGTTATTTGTTTGGAATTCAACATTGAATACAATTTTATTGGGGAAAAAAAGAACCAGGCTCATACCGAATGAGAGGGCAGCGTATGTACAGGCTCGGCTTGTTTGAAAGGGTGCCATCATTCATTTGTGCCTAGGGCAACAATATTATAAATACATTCTTGGTATATGCATGTGGTGTTTCCTTTTTAGCAAAACTGCTGACTACCCTTGAGCTCTAGGGCTCTAAAATGTGTCCCTGGACATGTTTGTCCTCGGAAATGCCTGCGTTCAATTCGGTCTAACAGCACAAGAAAAACAATCCTGTTCTGCATCATAGCCTTACATGACCTAATATCTGTAAGGAATGTGCCTGATTTAGACATAGCTTGAAATGATCAAGCTGTGCAAGGGTTAATAATCAAAATGACCAAAAGTGTTTTCAGAGCTTGATATTGCGTAAAATGTTGGAAAACAATCTCTCACTAGGTGAAGAGATCATTCCCTTTCTCCTTACAAAAAAATGAATATGACTTGCTAAATGTTGACCATTTAGGTGGACATCTAGATATATCTCCTAACACCAATTGTTCTTAGTAAGAGATCTGCAGTAATGAGTTTGTTTCATATTTTATCAGTTTTTTTCTTTTTGCTTTGGGTTTAGTATAAATGATTCACGCACTTTGAAAGCTACCTGATCCCTCCTGCAAAGCTATGAAATGTTACACATGCACTGACAGGGAACATGCTGGCAATAGGAAGGTAAAATGAATGATGGCCTTACCAGTGTGCTGCTACTCCTTTACTGTCCAATAAGCAGCTTGCGTGTATGCTTTTGACCAAGCTGTGCTACTGCTATACCAAAGATCAAGGGTGTAGCTGTGATGTCATGACTGGATCACAAGAATTGCTGCAAAGACTCTCATATAAATAGGTAAATAGTGTATTTATCGAAAAAAACAAAGCGCTAAGGGTAAATAAATGTGCAAAAGGTGAACAATATGTTTTCTGGCGAGGCCAGTCTAAAAACTAATAAAGTGTGTGAAACAGAACTCACTACAAATAAACAAAAACACTCTAACCATGGTGCACTAGACAATTATAACAAAAAAATCCATTCCATTTATTTACCCTTAGCGCTTTGTTTTTTTCGATCATACTAGGTTTTATCCCTTTTTAGAGCAGCTTCGGGTTTTAGTACATTTTTATTATATTTATTCACACATATTTTATTAATCCATTTATTCTAACTACCACCTCTCTCCAGAAGCGCAGATGTATCTGTTTACAAATAGTGTATTTAACTGCTATGTCAGCTAAAGAAGAGGGTGTTATTGGCTCATTAAAGCAAACCTTTCTGGGAGACATATAGAGGCTGCCATCACCACACCCCTTCTGAAGTTTACTGACCCCTTGGGTTTAGTAAGGTTTGAGTTACTGACCTGGAATGAGTTTGTATATGTGTAAAGACAAAGTAAAATCAGACATCCTTTTTTGCATGTTCCAGGTAAGGGACAAAAAGTATTGAAGCAAGAGGGTAAACATGAAAATCCAGGAAACCAGCATTTTTAGAATGAGAACAAGCAATGACAGCCTCCATGTCTTTCTCGGGTTTTCTTTTGAAGAACAAATCTGGGCTCAGGATCTCCCTTTTGCATCTTCCCTTCCAACGTGCAAGAGGACGAACACTGGATCATGGAGTGGGTGGGTCTCTGGGTGATGTTCCTTATTAATCAGATGCCTTTTTGCACAAGCTGGCCTTGGGTTATAAGGGTATGGGTAGGTGCATGATAGATTCTGAAAGTGTAAACTATTTGGGGCATGCCGTATTATTATTATTATTAATAATAAAAATCATGAAAATATTACATGCCTGCTAATAACGGGTAGCTGGTAAACCTAAGAAACCCTGTAAAAACCTTGCATAATATAATCATATAGGTGCAGCTATCACTACGAAATAATGACATTTTATCTATGACAGTTTTCTGTTTCCCAGATGATTATATCAGTATATAAATGCTCTGCATCACCAATGCACCATCCATTAATGTTTAAATGATCATTGATGTATTTACTTTCCTGTAACCGGCTTAAAATAGAGCTGATGAAGATTGCAATAATTCCATGTAAAATGTCAAGGCCTGTACAAACAACCCTACACCCCCCGTCACCACTCCTTGCTTGTTCTAATCACTTGAGCCTCCATGCTGCAGAAATCACAGCTGGTTATCGGTGGACTCGAAATAAGGAATATGACCCACAGCAGTGACACAGCTAAAGTATACACACGGTTATGTATGTGTGGGCCCGAGGGCTTAACGTGTCCCTAAATGGTTTAAAGGAGCACAGTGTGACAGCGCTGCTTATGCCAGTGGGGGTGTATCACTGGAAAGTTACTTAAAAACATTCTCAAATTTCTGCTGAGGTACTGCAAAACCTTTCTGCTGCCTAGAAAAATAATCTGTTTCTTAACCCCCTCCTGACCAACAGTATTATTATATAGATCCATCAGAGCAAACTGTAGGATATACACTTAACATACAATGTCATAAATAAACAATAACAACACAAACATTTGAAGGCCTTGCTTGTTAGCAGTTACAGTCTAAGGCAGGGGTCTCATAAGGGGTCTCAAAGGACCGGCCCTGGTCCAATTGCGGCCCCTAAGCCGCTACTATGTGGCCCACAGCCAGCTGACAAGTCCGGCACGCGCTCACAGACTTGCGGGAACAGCTACACGGTCTGCATCTCAGTCGGATGCAGACAGCAAAGCTGGGTCTCTGTGCCGGCACTCAGATCCTTTGGGCCAGCGCTCTGAAATCCTTCAGTGAACGCTGACCAAAAGAATTGATTAGTAAGGTCTGCCCCTCTGCTCCCACATCTTCCCTCTGGTCACACTGTCCCCCACATCCCCTCTGCTCCCACATCTTCCCTCTGGTGAAACTGTCCCTCACATCCCCTCTGCTCCCACATCTTCCCTCTGTTCTCACTCACTGTCCCCCACATCCCCCCCTTGAAAAATTAAATTGCAGAGGTCAGTTGTAACTCGGAGTGCAGAGGTCAGCCGTGCAACACAGAGCGTAGAGGTCAGTAATAATGCAGAGTACAGAGGTCAGTAATAATGCAGAGTACAGAGGTCAGTAATAACGCAGCATGCAGAGGTCAGTATTAACGCACCGTGCAGAGTACAGTAATATCGCAGAGTACAGAGATCAGTAATAACGCAGAGTACAGAGGTCAATAATAACGCAGAGTGCAGAGGTCATTAATAACGCAGAGCACAGAGGTCAGTAATGACGCAGAATACAGAGGTCAGTAATGACGCAGAGTACAGAGGTCAGTAATGACGCAGACTACAGAGGTCAGTAATATCGCAGAGTACAAAGGTCAGTAATAACGCAGAGTACAGAGGTCAGGAATAACGCAGAGTGCAGTGGTCAGCGGTGTGACGCAGAGTGCAGAGATCAGCAGTGTGATGCAGAGTATGGAGGTATGATGCACAGTGCGGAGCTCAGTGTTGTGACACAGTACAGAGGTCAGCGGTGTGACGCACAGTATAAAGTTCAGAGGTGTGACACAGAGGTCAGCGGTGTGACGCACAGTACAGAGTTCAGAGGTGTGACGCAGAGTGCGGAGACTTACAGTGCACATAGATCATCTGATGTTCTAATTAAGGTGCTCTGCCCTTTTCCTCTACTGCTAGTGGGGATGGGTGGGGGGGGCAGCGATGTTTCCTGTTTCTATGCATGTGTCTATTGGCTGCTGGCTCTGTGGAGCCAAGAATTTTCCAATTGGCTCCTTCGATCAGCTGGCAGCTGAATGCCGGGCAGAAGGGTGCTGGCAGCAGCACCCACGGTGCGAATTTTGGCCAGCTCAATATGAACTGGCTGAAATTTGACACGTCTATACCCAGCGTTGTCTAAACATTTTATTCCTGATGCTTCATCCCCCATGAATGATTTAGAAAATTGCAATCAAGTCCCCTCTTACGCACCTCTTTTCTAAGGAGAATGTGTTTCAGTTTGCCAGGAGCCATTCAAATTAGTTTTGGAGTACCTTTAATATAAACATGTATTACAATACTATCAAAAGAATATTGGTGAAACCATGATACTAAAGACAAATAGAACAAACCCTTGTCCCTACATTCCTCCATCAATTAAGGGTAAGTGACTCCGGATACTGTTATTAAAGTATATGTAAACAAAATCGTTAACATTTCATATAAAATTTAACATGTAATTCTCATTTCAAAAGTATCTTTTTAAATTTTTTCATTTGCAGATTTCATTAAAATAATTATTGGTGATTCTGCCATGAAGAAACTTGTTCAAGCACTGTTTGAAGGTTACAATGCTATGTCCTTATCTACCGATTCAGTGCCTGTGTTGTCACTATATAACACAGTTTCTGATTGAGACTATCGGTGACCATGTCAAAATATATTATGCAGATTTGTTCCGCTGTTATCACCATCAGGAAACCTGCACTAAGAATTGGGCAGTACAATGGTGTAGTGGTTAGGACTTCTGTCTTGCCGCACTGGTGGTCCCTGGTTGAAATCCTGGCCAGAACACTATCTGCAAGGAGTTTGCATATTCTCCCAGTGCTTGCATAGGTTTCCTCCCACACACAAAAGACATGCTAGTAGGTTAATCCTGTCTAAATTGGCCCCATATGTATGCTTGTGAGATAGGGACCTTGAATTGTAAGCCCTTGAGGGCAGGGGCAGCCTATTTAAGTGGAGAAAAGTAGCTACTCTGCTAAGGAAAGAATTGTTTGAGATGATTGGAAAGAAAATTATAAACCAGCATGTCAAATGTAAAGGCTATAGGACCATTTCCAAGCAACTTAATATTCCTGTGACTACAGTTGCAAATATTAAGAAGTTTAAGGTTCGCAGGAGTGTAGCCAAACTCTTTGGACATGACTGCAAGAGAAAAAACGACCCCAGATTGAAAACTTACAAAGATATACAAGTTAAACTTGTCACAGTTCAAATGCAGACTTGCAGCTGAGCTGTTACTTGTAGTTCTACAAGCATATACAGACCTCTTACCCCTGGTTCTGCAGGCATGCTGTGCTGGTGCTTGTAGTTTTCCAGGCATGTACTCGGAACCTGACTCACACTTGCACCAGTCTGGCAGTTTTAGGCGTCGGCCGACCTCTGCTGCTGTTTCTTATACAGCTTCTCGGCCAATCAGTGGAGACCGCTTGTGGCCAATCCTGTGAATCCTCCCTCTTCCTGTCTCTATTTAAACCCAGGGCAGCGAACTGCACGCTGCCTGAGCAATGCTTTCCCAAGCTAGATGCCGAGCCCCACATTTGTGATTGAACCTGAATTCCTGGAAAATTGTCTGTGTACCGAACCTTTGGCTTGTCCCTGGAAATCCCTGTTTACAGGCTGCCCTGTGCTTTGCTTTGTCCCTGGAAGTCCTAGTCTTCAGCCTGTCCTTAACCTTTCATTCGTACCCTGTACCTGTGTCCGCAGCCTATCCTGAACTTTGAGTTTTCGCTGGCTGCTAGCTGAGTTGGGTGAACCTGGGGATTGTGACCTGGGTTCAGCACGCAGCCAAGTCCAGCTCCACCATCAGGAGCTCTGGTGAACACCGGCTGGCCCTTAGATTCTACCTCCTGGGGACTCCATACTAATACTCAGCATTGCAGCACCCTGCCTTGTACTTGAACTTTCAGCTGAAGCTGACTTCCACTGCCTCATTCAGCTGCTCAGATCCATTCCCTGCTAGTACTCCAGCTCTGGGAGTTGTCAGCCTACACTGTTTGCACCCTTTTCTCTAAGTGTCCCTGCCAGTGTAGTAGAAAGGGTCCACATACCTGTAATATCCTAACGAGGAGGAAGACGGAACTCAGCTGCGGAGTCACGGTCAATCTCGCGTGCTCAGGCCCAAGAGGACGTGATGGCAAATAATTGCTATTGCCAAACAATCTCAGTGCATCATAGTACCGTCTTCCAGTATGACACTGACTACACTGAGTTGGGATAGCTCACACACTGGTGATTAGAGGAGAAGGTGTCCAAAGAGAATTCAACTTCTTCGTTACACAAGTAGTTGGCAGCAGTATGTTACGTCACATATAACAGTTAGCGTTGGTATTGATCTGAACGTGGTACTATATGCAAGGCAGTGTGAGGTTTCTATATGTTACATCACATATGAACAGTATGCAGAGGTATTGAACTTAACACATATGCACAGCAGGGTAAGGTGAGTTATATGTTACTTCACATATATCACTTCATTAACAGTTCATAGGTTTAACTTCTACTAAGAGAAGTATGAGGAGGCAGTCTCCTATCTAAGCAGTCAATGCTACACAATCCAGGTTGCTTAGTATAATGAAATGACTCCCCAAATGGGCAGCATGCCCAGAGGGGTGGATACTTGCTGTTGGCAGGTTAGACAGGATGAGTATTGGAGGTGCTCTGAGAAGTCCTGTGCAGGCAGGGCGTCCGGGACCTTGTTAGGGCAGCTCCTTTCTTGGATGTGTAGCGGAGGTGTGTGTCATACGTCTGGCGTTCACCTCGGGTTGTTGGAACGCCAGACTAGTCTGAGTTCGCGGCTTATGACGCGGTGGGGGGGGGTGCGTTCTCGTGTGACGTCGGCGGACCGGGGCGGAGCTACCCCTCGAGTCCGTGACGCCGAACGGCCGGATCTGCGGGAGATATTACAATACCTGACTCCAATTCATACCCGTGAGCCCCGATCCTGTCAGGGTACCATGCACAGGCGTCCTCACACCTCATACAGGTACCCACGCAGGATGACCAAATTAATATGCCCACACAGGATAGGGTTCTATGCATGCAGTTTATTTGCTACACAACAACAACAAAATTACAAACCCCCTCAACTCCCCACAGGTTTAGCAGTGACATAATAAACCCACCGTTGGGACAAACACACACCTACAGCCAGGGGGAAGCAACAAGGAGGGGTAACAGGCCTGCAGATATATGGCAGGCCTCAGGATAAAAGAAGAGTGGTCAGGTACAAGCCGGGTCGTTAACAGGAGGGCAGCAGCACGGTACAGGAACAGGATCCAAGAGAGTGGTCGGGTAACAAGCCGGGTCGGTGACAGGTCTGCAGATAGGAAGCAGGGTTTCAGGAAGCAGGGTTTCAGGAAGCAGGGTTTCAGGTTTATGGGAATCATTCAAGTGCAGGCGACGCAAATACTGAGCCAGCATCCTGACTGCAGTTAGGGCCTAAATACCCTCCCAGGAAGCACCAGGTGATGGGATGATCCGTCACAGCTGGGGCACACCCGCAGGTGAGTACTGGAGCTGCAGGTTCCTTACAGTCCCTGGCTGCTGGAGACACCCGCAGGCGAGCACAGGAACTGCAGGACATGGCTCCAGCACCACCTGGAGGTGCTCTGGATCCTGACAGATCCGTGACAAAACTCCAGGGTTAATTACTTCATGCAAACTGCAAGGTTAAGGTACATCATTGTACGAGTGCACCATCCATCTTTTTATGCGCGACATTGGGCTTTAAGGAAGAAGACCCAAGAGGACTCCATTGTTAAAAGTAAAACATAAAAATGGAACAACAAAATGGAATTTGCTAAAATGCATATTGACAAATCAGAATGCTTCTGGGAGAATGTCCTTTGAACAGATGAGACAAAAAACTTCTTGGCAAGTGTAAAGAACGTAACTTCCTCGCTCCTTGTGCCACGACTTCGGGACCTGGGGCTGAGCTCCAGCAACATCACTCAGCTCGGCCCCCCAACAGCTAAAGCTGAGACTTTCCAGACACATGGCATTCAAGCAATCTGTCTGCCTATCGCCAGTTATCTTTAAATCCCTTACTTTGACTTACAGATACCTTATATATAATTAACCTATCACTATCTAGTTTATTTTGGTTTAATAATACCTTTCACTGGAGTTCTTCATTAAGTTTCCTTTGTGACATTTCCTTTTTCAGATTAAACCCCTGCAATAATTCAAAACTTTTGTAATGCTGCAAAATTGCAGCTCTTTCGGATTTTTACTATGGTAGTGAGCAAAGTGGTTAGTCAATTTGCGCAGTGCTATAAACTGAGAGCAAATTTTGCTCCCAAAGCTAATCCATTTTATTGTTTATAACATTTTCCTCCAAACACCCAAAAAATGATCTAAACCAAATTATAATCATTCCAATTTAAACTTTTTTGTAGCTCAGGTAGGAGCTCTGTTGCAATATCAATGTGACTGGTGATGGCCCTTGCACTTGATCTAAAATTGTATAGAAGGAACTAACATCAGCGGTAGTTAAATGTATACTGGATTATAAATAATATTCTTTAAAATCTGTATGAAATGCCTAGAATCTTTTAAATAGGATGAAGTGGACTGCACAAGCGGCTGCTGAAAGTGAACTCCATACTGTATTGTAGAAACTAGAGAATCTAGGTCTCTCTAGTGGACAAGTGCTATTTTTATTTATTTTGGGGGTAGTAAAGTATTGTACAGTGTTAGCCATTGATGAATCCAAAGTTTGGAATCAAAGTGATACCCTTTATTGGCTAACGACTTATTATGATGCAAGCTTTTGAGATGACTTAGATCCCTTCTTCAGACTCCTACTACTAAAAAAATATTAATAGTAATGATCATCCACTCCCCCCATTAGCTGTTGGTCAATTGACTTCAACCTTCCTGTTTTCCAACTCCTGTATCCCTACTAATATGGTAGAAAATATGTGATTTTTTTTTAACCCTCCATTTCTCTAAATCTTTCGATACCATTATTTGAATACATCTGCATAATGATTTGTACTGTTCTGCAGATTAAAGGTTTAACGACTGGAGAGTCCACTGGATTTAAATATATACTGTTTGTCTTAGGGGGTTATGTTAATTACTTGGACTGGAGTCCTTCAAAGATAATTATAATATTATAAATATTATATAATAAATAATATTAATATTAAGCTTTCTAATATATTTGTGTACATCTGGGCGCAACCAGCACAGATTCTTCGCTTACCCCCTCTATACCTACCATTGCTCACGCTTTACTGACTGCATGGGTGAGATTGTACCTTTTTTATATTACCATCCTCCTTACCATCTTGTCTTGAATTGTATTGTGATTGTAATGTCTTCCTTATATTGTAAAGCGCTGCACAAACTGTTGGCGCTATATAAATCCTGTA